GTGATGAAATGACAATCAATTAAGTTTTATTCTCAATAAAGTTGGAATTCGCCTGATTATTATCGTGATTGAATTGATTCTGTATGAAACAATTAATTCAAGGCAGATTTTAGCAATAAATTTTTCTTTTCTGGTTGAAATTTCTGATGGCCATCGATTTTTGCAAGACAATGTGAGGTCTAGTACAATCTTATGCACTACTAATTTTCGAGTGCACGGTGTCCTCAAAAAAAGGTTGAACCCCAACCTTAAAGGTCCCTCACCACCTTATCCCTAGAGTATTATGAGAGAGGTTAATAGCGGGATGTGTCCCAACAGGTCAAGAAACAAGATTTGTTTGTACACTGGTACTCACAAAGAATTTCAATTCATGTTTCACAAAGAGGTTAATTTTCACAGTGTCCTATTTATATGATGCGATAACAATTCATAAATTGATTTGCTTACTAAATTCTTTAAGATTTAAATATAATGCTAAAAATGCAATAATATTTTTTTTATATTAATAATTAAATATTTTATTTCTATATCTTGATTTTGAGATTGTTTATAAATCTGCATTGTATCTTCAACACTAATTAATGAAAATATAAACATAATTACAGTTCTTCATCAATAAATTTAAAATTCTACATTTTGAAATACTTCAATTTTGTCTAAAGAACAAAGCCAATATGTGTTTTTTAATTGATCAAAAGAAACAAAATTAGAACGACCGAGCTACAAGTACAAAAGGAAAACCCACAAATGTTTTACAAACTACTCACAGTGGTGGGATCGACATTTTTTTGGACCATTTTTTAATACATCGGGACTCACGTGGGCTCGACCTCCACAAGACTCATCTATGAGAGTTTTGTATGTTTTTCTTCTGTGCATCCAGTTTAATTCAAATTAGAAAGATATTAAAAATATGGACCAATAATTGTATTTGGTGGGGTCCATGAAATGAAACTGGTCCTAACTCGGTTGACTATGCCCCACCGGCCACGGCACCGGCCACGCCGTCACTTTCCGGTGGTCAATAAGATTAAAATATGGACAATTGCCAATCTACATTTTTGTCTCATTCTGCTTTTAAGTAAACAGAATTTAATTAGCTTTTTAATGTGAAACGTTTTATTTGCTTTTATATTTGATGCAGCGAGAAGTAATTGAAAAAGTCTCACGAATTTTTTATATTTGGCAACATATATGAATGGAAGAACTTTTTTTCTTGTGCAAATAATAAAGAATAAAAAAAATTCACCGTTTTAGAAATTATTGCTTTTTAAATTTACAATTTTTTTGCAACAAGCTTAATTTTCTTTCTTAAAAGTGTTATTGACAGTGGAACTTTTTTTATTAAATTTAATTTTTGATATTAAACCATGAATATATTGTTTGTTTAATTTTAGCACTTCGAATAAATTTATTTGTACTCGTGACATTTTGAAATAAAAGATACTAATTTGTTTTTCCAATAAATTGTTTATATTAATTTGAGCTTGCATTTTGTTCATGGATCGACTCAATATTATAAATTAAGTGTTCAAGTTGTTAAACACAGAAAGATTTGATCTATAATTCGATTTGAAGTTTATTGTCCACAATCGGTAATTAAAGACGAACACTTTATTTTGATAAGATTGTCTCAATTTTTATTTAAAGTTGATCTTGACTTTAGCAATAAAATTGATTGTACATTTTGAAATGTATTGGACTGAACCACGTGAAATTAATTTATGGAATTAACCACTTGAATTTAATTTCACTTGACTATTATATGTAGTACCTTAATCCCGAGGAAATAATGAACTTTGATTACTAACTTGAAGTTTTTGAGGTATCAACGAGTGAGATTAAATTGCTAATCGAAATCTCGATGCCTAGGGAATTATAGTGAAATAATTAGAGAACATATATTCGCAATATGGAATCTGTAACCTATATAATAGGCATGATCATGACCTCAAGAGATTTTCTAATGAACAATTAGATATGAGCTCAGCAATTCGACATGATTGTCGAATTAATATTGTGATGTGATCACATGGAACTGTCAAACAGAAAATGGGATTGAGGATTTAATGTTTATTCGGAAAAGGGGGATTTTGGTCATTTCACCCAGTTCCAAATACTCAACGTTATTAATGGGGGTAATACGTAAGAGCAATTGGTCAGAAAATATAATTATTGTAGTTTCAGTAATTTTAATTAAATTAAGAGTGCCATCACGTTCTTTTAGTAGAATAGAACTTGATTAATAAATTATCCAGATCGATCAAGAGTTGATCGGGTCAAAATTAATTTATTGGAGCTTGATTTAATTGGGTCCGTTTAGTCCCTTTAGTGGCTTCAAAAATAAAGAACCAGAATAAATTATAAGAGTTATAATTTATTAACTATACAAATATATATAAATTAATTAAACCAAAATGTGTCAAGCATGTGACATTTAGATATGGTGGTTATGATTTGGATAAATACAAAAAAGATTCCTTTTTTTGTTGAAGACTTTTATACAGTCAAAACATAGAGTTCTTTTGAGATTGAAAGTCTTGTGAATCAAATCCATATATGTAGACACGTACATTCTCTTATGGGTTTAATTAATCTATGAAAAATAAAATTCTTGTGCCCAAAGAAAAATCTCTACAGTTATTTTTGAGTTCTTGATGAATACTGGAGAAAGCCAAAAGGTTTGAAGGAAAACTAAGAAAATCAAAAAAAGAGGCTTGAAGGTGGAATCAAGGAGATCAAAGATCAAAATGATTTTTTAAAGCACGCTACAAGGGTAACTTCTAAAACACTTGTGTTAACTATATTCCAAATTATTTAATTCTTGTTGATATATAATTTAATAAAATCCGTTGTATTCTTCCAACAATTGGTATCAGAGCCATGGTTTTGATATTATTTTGTGTATCAAGAATTAAATAATTTTGGATTATGCATGTGTTAGTAAAGGGCGGTGTTAGGATTATGTGATTTATTTAGTTATTAGATGAATGATATTTTTTTTATTGAACAAATTTATGGCCTTAGAATTTTGTGGTGATTATGTATTGTTTGAATCGAGTCATGTAACAAAGGGGGTGGATTACGACTCCATGTTTTCCCCTTTGATTTTAATTTTTTGCAAAAGAGTTAGGGTTTGTATATTGTTGTGGTCACTGCTGTAATTATGTAATAGAAGATCTGTTCTGCAATTATGAATCGGAGGACTTAAGCTGCAAATTCAGATCCAAGGACCAAACTTTATCTTCTCCAACGAGTTGAGAGACATGCATTGTAAAATCAGTAAAAAAAAAAAAAAAAAAAAAAGTAAAAAAAAAAAAAAAAAAAAAAAAAAAAAAAAAGGAACAAAATGGGGCAGAGGAAGGGACAACTAACTAGAGACGGTGGGCAGCACCTGCTGCCGCCGCGACTCGCGTGGAGAAGCGGGGAACTTCGGTGCTGCTGCTTTGCGTGAAATGCGGTAGCACGGTGATCTGCCGCTGCTTCTCATGCAGGGGACAGTGGCGCTTTCGAGCTCTGCTACTTCACCTGTGTGGGAGGAAGGTGGTGGTGGTCTCGGGGTGACGTGCAGGTGTTGATGATGGGTTGTTAATTTTCCGGTCATGGCTTGGTTCTTTTCGGCGTTGAGTTTGGAGAAACAGTTGTCTCGGTGAGAGTTATTTGGGCCAACTATTGAGATGGACCAGGTTTTTGTTGGGCCTAGAATTGTGAAATGGACTATAATTAGTAAAAGTTGGGTTGAGCCAATTTTTTTAATTAATTGTAATGTGGGCTAATGTGGTTAGCCGGGCCATTGCAATGTGGACCAATTTTTCACAATAGGCTGGATTACTGCAAAATTGGGTGTTGGCACTTGGGCTGAAGGATAAAGATTTGGAGCTTTCGAGCTGGACGCAACAAATTGGAAATTGAAGAATTGGACCGGAATGTGGTCCAATTAAAACTTTAATTTATTTGTAATTTTGTGTCTAGGTTTTGGGCCATAAATTTTGTTCTAGTTATTTTCTTATTGCTTTAATTAAATTGTGGTTGAATGTCATTATATATAACATGTCATTTAGATCGCATATACACCGCTCTAGGTACTATACTATCATGCATGTAGGTAATATTTATTTTTCTTTTCTAAATTAGTTAGATGAGAAAAATATAAATATTATAATTAATTAACGATTAGGTCATTTTAATTAAACTGGTTAGAAATTGATAATTGGAAAACCCAAGTAGTATAAAAATATTACGTGGGTGAGGGTTAAATTTTTCTAAACCCATGGCCTCCCCTATTAGCCCATTACTAAGAGTTGTGTATGCCATATGCTAGTAATTTTATTTTATTGGCTTCCCTAAAGGAGGACTGCACTGTTTCGGTTACTTGATTGGGCCCATTTAGGTGATGGATTTTCAATACAAATTAATTGTGATTGCTCTATAGGTAAACGTAATTAAATTTGGGATTGAAAAATCATCGATATATGGGGTTGTACACTTAAATCAAAGATATCATGAGGACTTCCTAAAGAATATCCAAATGATTTCATTGATGGCCAAAATTCAAATGATACTAAAATTAATATTGCATGAGATGCTAGAATATATTAAATTTAGTGGGAGGGTCCTAGCCTAGCCGTAAATCACATTATCTTCTCCTATAGAGAGATATGTTTAAGATTTTGAGGTTTTAGGTTGTCATCATATTAAGGTAGTATTGGGCCTACTTGTGCATTTTTCATGCATTATATATGAAAAGATAATTATCATCTGTAAGCTTAATATTGATATTGTTATTTTATTTCAGAAAAATGTCGAATCTTACACTGTCATCCATCCTAAGCAAGAACCAACTAGGAGATAATTACATTGATTGGAAACGTAACTTAATGATTGTTCTCACTGCTGAGAAGCATAAATTTGTGCTGGCTGAACCCTGTCCTAATGAGCCGACTGTGGAGTCTATAGCTGAATAGAGGGCTGCATATGAGAAGTGGGTTCAATCTGATGAGATGGCCCGCTACTACATTATGGCTTCCATGTCGAATGTGTTGCAGCAGAAACATCAGAACATGGACATTGCAGCTCAAATTATGGAAAGTCTTCAGGAAATGTTTGGCTACCAAGGTCGTCAGGCTCGATAGGCTGCCATTAGCTCTATTATGAACATGCGCATGAAACCAGGGACGCCCGTGAGAGATCACATGCTTGCATTGATCGCTCGGTTTAACGTGGCTGAGGTTTTAGGGGCTGAAATCCAATCGGAGATGCAGGTTGACATGGCTTTAGAGACTCTCCCTGAGATGTTCTCACAGTTCAAGGTTAGTTATAACATGAACAAGCTTAATATATCCCTGACCGAGCTGATGAAGGAGCTCCAAAATGCAGAGGCTATTTTAAAGACTAAAAGTGGTGAAACCCATGCTGTTTCTTCTTATCGACCATCCTCTTCCAAGCCGAAAGGCAAATGAGGCAATAAGAGGAAGAAGTCAAACAAGAAGGGCCTACAGCCACAAGCTAAGAAAGCAAAGACGGATGAAAAATCCAAAGGAAAATGCTTTCACTGTGGGCAGAAGGGTCACTGAAAGAGGAACTATCCGGAATACCTAGCTTGCAAAAAGCCAGGTAATGGTACGCTATCTTACATTGAAAAACATTCAAGAACTTGATGAATTGCTTTTCCAGCTTCATGTTTTACAGCCTTTGAGAAAAAGAGACTAGAGATATAAGTGAGGTGTCAGGAACTATTGCCTTAAGCTGTGGGCTGTCTGAAACGAATTGTTGATCCTTCCCTGTTGCTTCGTCAGACTGTTCCACTTGTTCCTTGTCCTTAGTATATATTTGAGCGTTATCTTTCTCATTCCTCTTTTCAGTGATTTCTGGCAATTGAATGTCACTCTTAATGGTAGTACCCTGACCCTGCTGCACTGTTGGCTATCTTCGTAGTCTTTGAGGAGATGGAGTGGGTGGCACATGAGTTTTGACATGGATGATGGGAGTGAATTACGAAAGTTCAATAGTTGCAACATTCACCGTCTCAACTACTAATATTTGCTCTCATGGGTTCTTCTCTAAATAGCTCGGCAAGATACCATGTGGTTAGTTTGCCAATGTAGTTGCAATCTACCCTAACTAATTCTCTAAGTTTTGTGTAGAGGCGTGTTGGTTCTACATTGCAATCTCAATCTTAATTATGTACTTAATAAGCAGATCTTTGAAGGATGCCTTATTCTCTTGTTGTTGTTGAACCACTGGTGGACCATCCTTCATCTAATATCTCTGATCCGAATTATTCACCCACGAGAAATTGGGATACTTGTTTAAACTCGAATAATAGTTGTTGAGGTTGGGTCCATTTTGCTATCTCTAATAATTCTGTACATATTTGACGTCTACAGGTTGACCCATGGAGTGAACGCTAAGAGGAAACTGGTGGTGAAATGATCTACTTGCAACCTGCGCAAACCATTGTTGTTAATATACCATGTTCACAAACTGAGTTAGATTATCAGGTTTCTTCATTATTGTTTCCATCTGTGCTGCTAACGTTGTCACCGCATCAACATTATGCATACCAACTGCCTTCTTTGGAAGTTTCCTGTCGCTCGACCACATAGACTGATTTTCTATTATTCTCTTGTACAACTCGTGAGTAACATCAATGTCCATGTTCATTACTAATCCACCCGCTAAAGCATCTACCATGTGCTTGAATTCTTGGCAAATTTTGTAGTAAAAAAGGTATACTTGTGCTTACTTGGGAATATCAATATTGGGATACTTCCTGAATAAGTTCTTGTACCTTTCCCATGCAGCTAGATAACTCTCAAGGACTTTTTGCTTAAATGTTTGGATTTCATTCCGGATTTGATGAACCCGAGACGACGAGAAGAATTTCATTGAAAATTTTTCAACCATTTTATTCCAAGACAAGATACTTCCAGGAGGTAACGTGCAGACCCACTCTCTTGTAGTATCCTTTAGAGTGTAGGGGAATAATCGCATCAGCTGACGTCCCTTCATGGTTGATAACTTTGCACAACATGAGAAAAGCATATATGTGTTCATGTGGATTCTCTATGACTTTTCGCAGAACTTGATGTCATGATGATTCTGGGAGAGATTGATGGCATCTGGTAAAATGTGAAAGTTAGCTTGTCCGAAGTGCGGATAGAAAACTACGATTGCACTAGTGTAGGTACTAAATTTACATAATTCCCTACTAATATTCGACAATCATTAGCAATAAGTATATTGGAGCTAGTGGTGGTTATTGAATCGGATCCCGAATCTAATTCCAATCTTGATTTTCGGCCATTGCCCATTTTTCTGTTTGTTGTCTTACACATTTTCTGAACGTTCTTTCGAGATCTAGTGGTAGGGGCTCAATTTTTTTAGAATCTTGCATAAACTGTCGACAACTTGAAAAGATAAAATAGAAGAAATTAAGTAGTGATATAAATAGCCTAAAAATAAAAATATAATATCGAATATAATTAAACTAACAAGCTAAAATTAATACCGTTATTTCCCGACAACGATGTCAAAAAATTTTTCGGACAAAACCTGCAAGCATATGAAATCGTTGACAAGTAATAGAATTTAGCGAGTTTCGAGTTTATCGTTTCCACATGGAATAAGGTCTAATATCTAGTTCAATAACTTTTATAAAATTCGATGTAAAGTAACATAAAAGATATTAGGTTTGCAATTTATACTAATTCTAACTAAGAAAGCAATTAAAATAGTTTTATCGATATGAGACGAATGTATTTTATATTTGAACCCCCCTATTAGTGTTACTTTCAATACACGAGCTATAAAAAGTAGTAAGTGTTTTCTAGTGTTAGTGACAATCGACAATCCGATTTTATTCAATATGCTTTTTCCAAGGCATATTAAACCTATATTTAACATGACATGGTCCTATTCCTAGTCCGATTCATATGAAAAACATGTAGGCCTGGGTGCTGTTTAGCTTGGGTTGTTTCTACTCCAACTTGAAACTAAAATCAAATTAGTTGATTTGGATGAATTTCAACCCATATCAACCCACTCTAGTTCTTCAATCAATTTGGTTCGGTAAGTTTATTTGGACTTTAGTCCAAATTGAATTCTTCAAAACAATTTATCCGTGTTTTAGGCTTCATTTATATTATAAGAACTAAAATAACTAAATAATTTTATATTACAACCACTATTGACTAACAAATAAAATAATGTTAATCGAGACGGATCAACAGAAACTTAAGAATTTTGTTACTTTTTATGCATTACGTAGCATGACTGTTTGAGTAGGGAAAAATGCTAAGTATAAAATAACGAGCTTGTGAAAAAAAAAAATCAGTACTATTACTTACCGACAATATCATAAATTGAAGGGAATAGAGATATAATTATGAGATTATGGCTTATCTTTTGATTTTTTATTTTTCTTAAAAAAAAAACGAAACATGTAAGTGAGTTGGGTAGGTTTGGTTAAGATTTGAGGTTTTAAATCATGACTGAACCGACCTACCATGATTTTGTTTAAAAAAGAGTCAAACCAAATCAAATCAATTACCTATGTCAATCAGACCCAAACCGATAGAAATCGGTTTGATTTTCATTTTTTTATTGGGCCTAAAAATATGCATTAATAAATAGGATTTATCACACAAAATTGTACATGTCATAAATAGTATTCCTAATATCTATTATTCGTGTGTTAAATATGCAGTGTTCCACCTATTGTGAGCCTCCAACACTACAAATACGCAACACATTATCCAATTGGTAGCGAAGAAATTAAAAATATGAATACATACATAATAAGAAATTACTGAATTGACGAGTCATGAATTTAACAGCTAATAAGATTCATCATTTATTCAATAGAAATAAATTCTAGCTAAGCATGTTTCTAATGATGAAGCAACAGGAAAAATAGAAGAATATCACCCGAAAGTTAAAAATTCAAGAAAGCAATTTCACGGTCTAATTATTGTTCTTGATTATTAACTCCCAAAATTTGATTTTTCAAGCTCTTGATATTTCTTGATTCAACATGTTGCCAAATTGTTTCTCATCTCCAACTTATAATGAATTTCCGCCTTGTTCTTAAATAATTTTCTGATATAGATCTAATTTGAGATGTGAAAGAGAGATCCTCCGATGGCTACACATGTCTTGTATTTTATATGATGAAGTTTGGTTAAGATTCATGTCTAAATTGGCTTCCCAAAGAGTTTCAATCAAATAAGGAAAGTTACCTTCACATGCACATGATTTTGTCTCTGTACATTATTCAGTATTTTGGTCTTAACTTTTTTTCCCAATATTCAATTTAAGTGATTTAAAGTGCATTGAAAAGCTAACTTAAAGGACTACAATTATTCTTGAATATAGAATTTTTTCAATTCGAACATTTACTATTTCAAAAATGGATCTCAAACTCTTATTGAAAATTTGGAATATGCCTTTTGCGGTTGAAAATTGATTTGTAAAGATCCTTTGATTATTGTTCATTCATTTTGACTTCTTATTGCATCCAAATGATCTTAGAAATCTCCAATTATCGATTTGAAGTCCATTATAAGTTTTAAGTATTTGCACTTTCGTTTCCGAACTTTGAATTTTGTCATTTTTTTTCTCTATTTTTCGTTCTTTCTCCCAATTCTTCGCCCAAGCATGAGCTTTTTTTTTTAAAATAAAAGCAATAAATAATAAATTAGACATCCGTCCAAAGAATAACAAAATATCATCATTTCAAACCCCGAATAAGTGTAAAGACTATACTTATCTAGCAACTCTTTGCATGCATGATCTCAACAATCATACTTCACACCTGAAATTCATAAAAATACCTTGCTTGTAAAATAAATAGGATTTATTGCTTCATATAGGTCTCATGTGATAGCTCAAATAATTATATTTCTCTTAAAACACAACATTCTAATAAAATACACGTCTTTAATGAAAAGCACATAAGCAACTTTAGTCATAACTAAACTCCCCATGGCAAATCAAGTCCAATATATTAAGCTCCCGTTTGGCTCCTATTATTTCAAATTATAACTTCTATTTCTCTTATTTTCAATCTCACAATTTTCCATAAAATAAAATTACATGTAAATCAAAAAAATTTTTTCAATCACACATTCTCCAAAAAAATCCTATTTCAAAAATTATAAATTGAAATTAATGGAGGCCAAACGGGGGCTAAGATACTTCTATAATTCTATCTATATGGACTTCCATTGCAGGTAAGATAAGTAATCCTTTATCTTAACTTATACATAGGCATAAAAGAACATTGCATGAAGGGCACACAAACATGTTCTACTTGAGCATAAAAGACTTGCAGGTTTTCTAGGCATGTACAAAACCATACAGATCTTTCAAGAATCTAAAACAATGTCCTAAAATCGAATTATTTGCCCAATAACTCCAAACGGTTTAACTCAAATATATCTATTCAAGTTGTTACCTA